CTTGAGAAGATGAGTTGTGAGTCACTTAACTAATTCTACTGAATTTGATTTTCTCGAAAAGTTCTAATGGCAACTAATTTGTTGCCAGTGAAGATCCAAAGTTGTTAAAAGGTTAGAGCGTTGCGGCTGGGGTGCTGGACAAGTTATTTTGTCTTTGCTATGAGAGGAAAGAGATGCGCCATTACTGACCATTTCAAAATACTCATCTAACTCGGATTACAATGTGACATTAAATGAATACTATCATCCTCTATAAAGTTGTTCAGTTCGAAACTAAGTTTGAAAAATTAAGACCTGATCATTTTTAATGTATCCATAAGTTGAACGAATAGGACTGGGATGGAGCGTTTTCAGTGTGAGCACTAAATCCAGAGTCATATTCGGTCGCTTTGTATCCCTCTTCAACAAAGGAAGTTTCGTCAGTTTCTTTGATTTCAATCCCTTGAATATTCGCTTGATATCGCTCCGTAGTTATTACGTTAGTCAATAAAATAGTTGAGATAGTACGAGTTGTATTTTTCTGTCGGTTTGGAAAATACCGTAACACTGTGTTTAACGTATCGATAGGTTCAACGAGTAGGACTGGGATAGCAGATTGACCGAAATGCGATCACCACGACCAACACCATAACGAAAGTCTTGTTCACTGCATCCCTCGTCATGAAAAGAGGCATCGTCAGCTTCTTTTATTCCAATCCCATGATATGCATGATCACATTCCTCTCCTCCTCCACCAACCATCACCACTGATCCATCACGTTGCTAGTAATTATGGTAAATCATACCCTATAGTAGACCAAAATTTCCTGAATTCTGTAGCCTATTCCAGACTTCACTGCTCAAAAACCCCACCCTTTACAGCCTACATACCTTATATATGCATGGGAGTGCCCCCACCTGAGTGGTTTATAGATTTCAATTACAGATCAAGGGGCACACACATAGACACACTTACCCTACCTTATGGGTGACAACTTTTGAATAAAGGCTAAATTAATTTTCAAACCCACCTTAATTGAAGGCCCAGTGGGCTGCAAAATAATCTTAGACCCTAATCAAATGAATGCATTTAGTAGCCTAAATTATTCAGATTTTATTATTCCCAACTTAAAAATTTTAAGTACAGGGACTAAGCTGTGATTTTCAAGCTTTTAATATGACTGCAAAAATCATTAAATAAAACTATATACATTACTATATAAAATTACTTGACTGCAACATTTATTCCTGAAAATTCTGTTCGCACAATTAGAATATTAATTTTTATAAATTTGCACTGCTGGCACATGTTTTAATTATAAAACATGTCTAAAAAGTCCGCCAAACATAATATCTATAAAATACTTTCAATTCACAAAAATCACATTTCTCTTTTTGGATAAAAAGAGGCCTTTAGGTACCAAAAATAAAGGCTAAAGAGATAAAAGTTAGAAGGACAAAATTTCAAAGACAAAACATCAAAATATGTTACTGCAATAACACTTATGAAAATATGTGCTCAATTTTCTTTACCAAGTATACAAATTATTTATTTAGTAATTCTCTCAATTAGTGCCACCAGCATTTGATTTTGCAGCTGCTGCTGCTGAATATGTCCTTGCATTTGTTGTCGCTGCTGTTGCTGCAGTTGTTGCTGCATAGCTTGAAACATCTGCATTTGTTGAGATAATTATTTCTTCTTCACCTCCACCTCTTCTTTGCTGAGTTCAAACTGCTTTTTAGCTTTGTCCCTCAAGTAAACAAGGGTTTCTGTTCCTGACCCTCTCCTCTTGGGAGTAACTTGACCATTGTCAGTCGCCTTCCTTTTCAATGTCTCTCCCAGCTTTTCCATTGACCGATATCTCATTTCCTCTGCCTTTTTCCTTTCATTCTCCTTATTTAGCTTGACCTGTTGTGAATTTTCTCCACCCTCACTGTCACTTTCTTCAAACATTTCAATGATTTGTTCCAATAGCTTATCTGTTTCTGTCAATTCAGGTGATATTTCACTTGCTTTTGCCTCTTCTGTCATCTTTTGCTTGTATTCCTTAGCC